GACTCTAGTGTACATGCATGGTGAGGACCGGGTGCCTCTTTATTGGGCGCACCTGCAGTGTGGGCTGTGTCTGCCACTGCAACCCTTTGTAAGGAAAGTTTTTGCGGTGTTGGGGGTTTCCCCTATCAATTCTACCCGCACGCCATCTGCACTTTGATACATGATAGAGTACAACTCATTCACATTCATCCCGTCGGGTGATGCTGACTCCATGTTTCTTGTCCGTGTGCATCTTGGAGATGGCTTTTGGCCTGGGACAAAGTTACCGAGATGGAGCTTCCTTGGTTGTTTCTTTTCGCCTGTGAACCTTCCTGCCCTGATGAGAGTGAGCCATTGCTTCATTGGCTGCCCTTGTTGCCAAACTGAGAAACGTCCAGAATTAGGGTTTGCTCTTTCTCTTGATGGTGAGCCTTTTGGATTTTTAGGCATTGTTGAGTTGCTGGCATATTTGCCATCTCATCAGCCAAGGACCTGCTTGGAGGCTTTGCTGAGATCCTTGTAGGTCGACAGTGGACATGGTGATTTTCAACAGATCTTTCTTGTCCACCGTCGGTTGCACTGTTAGGCCCGATATTTCGTTGTTTGAGCTTTTTAGAAGATGTTGCTCGACGGAGGGGGCCCAGGCAACTTTTGTGATTGGGGCTTCTTGTTAGAGAGAACCCCACACGCCGACGCTTTGTTCCCTAGAATTTGATGGGATCATATTTTTCTTCTTGAGGTTTCTAGGGATAGTGTTAGCCGGACCATCCTATAAATGGAGGAGCCTTCTTGTAGGGAGAGTGCAAGTCACATGCTTCGACCACCAGGTTTTACTTCGACTCTGGCGATTCTGAGCAGCGACTGGGGGCCAGAGCTGTTAATCTTTCAGAGAAGACCAGATGGCGAGCCCTTGAGTTTTCCCCGCAATCTCATCCTTGGTGAGGAAGGACTCTCCATTGAAGGTGGTGATGGTCCGAGGAGCCTGCCACAGTCTTGATCACTGCTCCTTGTTCAGGGGAGTCATTGCCGACATGAGCTTGAGCGATACTAGATCTGATCATTACCCCTAGGGGTTCTGTTTGCAATCCAACCCCAGGCCTTTTGTCTATCCAGACGGTGGGGTTTTTCATCTGTGTCGGTGATTAGAAGCCTGTACTTCATTCTCAAGCCAGACAAGGACCATAGTGGTGTATCTTTTCTTAGGAGGGCTTTCGGGGTTCTACTTGGCAAATACTCCCCAGAAAGCTGTTGGAACCTCTAAGGGCTACACCCATATTGGCTCCTCATAGCCATAGGCTAATCCTCCTTAGCTTGAATGATGCAATTCTAGACTTTGTTTAGCTTGAACGATGAAATACTGGTGCTCTTCAAGAATGAAGAATATCAGGCCCACTTAGAATTGGGTATTTCTTCTCAGAGAAGAAAGTAGGCCCCATGATGGTCGCCAAACTGTTGATGCTCATGAACAAACGGTCAATGGGGGTTTTTTGCGGTCAGGTGCAGCTTCGATCCTAGTGACAGTGGGGAAGAAGGAGAGGATGAATGTTGGGGCCGACTCCTCCTCCGACTTTATAACTGATTCTGAGCGCGCGAGGTGGACTGATAGCCTACACATGCAAGAATTGTAGGAATACAGGACTAGTTTTCCCCGTGGTACCTCCGACGGTCAAGTCAGCTGATAAACTTAGGAAGATTTTTTGAGAGGCCCTGGGCCATTGAGGTCCTTGCAGGGGTTTTTTTCTCTTGAAATTATTAAAGTACAAAAGAGGAGTAAAGCTAAGGTGCAAGAAGAAGTACCCAGAGCCTCCCCCTTCCTATTTTTCGTCCTTACCTTCCTTACCTCCTTTTATAGCCCCCTTACCCCTGGGAGTTTGACCCTAGGCTTTTGTTGACTATGCATAGGAGGCGGTTTGAAAGGTGAACAGGTAGGCTGCCGAGTCATCTTTCTTCCTCCACGTGTCGGCAGGCGACTGGGAGGAAAGTCACTCGGTGTTAGGGGAGAGAAGTCTTCTCAGTGCTCTGGGTTTGTCAGAGTAGGTAGGGTATAGGGTAGGTCGGCTGTGTGTTCATCCTTCTTTCTCCAGGTGGCGGCTGGAAATTAGAGGAGAAGTTATTTGTGTACAGAGAAGCATCATGGCAATTCTCTGGGAAATGACTTATGAGTGGAATAGGCGGCTTGTGTAGGAGATCCTTGTTAGAGTGTGTATCTTGATAGGACTGGTCAATGCTGTAGTTTTGAGTGACATTTGAAGTGGTCTTGGTCGGATCTTATCCCTTTAGTCGAGGCGGATTGATCTGTGAGTCATCACTATGATTTGTCGACCGACAACCGAGTGAGTTTTAAGACGAGAGCATCATCGAGACGTCCGCTCGGGGAGTCGTCTTAATTGCGGAGGACTGACTGGTCCCGCGCTTCGAGTAGATTATGACGTCTCTTGGTCGAGAGGGGGCTCGCCTGCTTGGCTGTTCAATAGACTTGACCTCGGTCCGGGATTCTGAGTTTCTTGAGCCGGTCAGGACCATGGCTTTTTGGGCCTTTATAGTCAATCTTTCGACGTTCTTATCTCTAGATGGTAAATTACCATAACAGATACAATAAGATTGCAATTTCTTTTTTTTTAAATTTATTAGAGAGAGATTGCATCAAGAGAATTGTAATTAATTTTTTTCTAAGTCTGTTAGAGAGAATAATATAAATTCAATTCTCTAACTTTCTTCTTTCAATTTTCCCACCAAATAGTATGATATTGGTGGGCCTGAAGAAGTCGATGCAGCAGATTGCCAGGAGAAAGACAAAAAGGGGGGAAGAAAGGATGAGAGAGGAAGAGGGAAAGGGGAGAATAAGAAACGGGGGTAAAATGACATTGTGGGTATTTTTTCCTTTTTTGAATTACTGGTGGCATGACACCAAATTTTGGGGGATAGTAGTATAAAAAAGGGGATTTTGGGGTTTTGCCTTGTTGACTTAGTCGTGGAGTGGGGTATATTTGTTTTTTCATTTTGGAGCTAGAAACATCTTTCATAGAATTTTAATTTTGGGAAAATTGTGTCCAGGCCCCAAAAGTGGGAACTTCGTGTGACTAGCCCCCTTGTACTTTGCCCCATGTGGAAAAGCCCCAAATACGCATAGTATTTGCGACGAGGCCCCGATTTGACTTTTTTCAGAAAAAGCCCAAAGGAAGTTACGATCTTGCCCTCTGATGGGACTGAGCTGGGTTAATGCGCCCCATACCTTTACAAGTACTCTCCCTCTCTTTCTCTCTCTTCCACCTAGCACCGTCATCAAGAACTCTTCATCTTCCTAATTTCTGTACGGATTTCAACGTTTCTAGGGTTTTTGCCGGGAAAATGTCGTCTATGGAAGGATCCAGTAATGACTATGAGGTCGCTCACCGAGCCGAGTTGGAAGGAAAAGGCACTTCATCTGTGGGTGGTATCCCGGAGGAAGCTACGGAAGCAACGCAAACCCTAATCGAAATGCAAAAGGAGGCAATACAATGGCGAGCCCAGAAAAGGAGGACGGCAATGGCTGGTCGTACCAACAAACCCCCCTCAAAAAAACAGTAAGTGTTATAATCTTCAGTATTCGACAATGGCAATGACTAGGTTTAATCTTCAAGAATACGGGTTTATACCGCGAAGAGACAATGCAGATTACCCCAATATTGTTAGTTCTAGGCTTTGTCCAATGTTAGTTCTAGTTTGAGTCAAATGTTAGCTCTAGTTTGAGACCAATGTTAGTTCTAGGTTTGAGTCTAATGTTAGTTCTAGTTTGAGTCCAATGTTAGTTCTAGTTTGAGTCCGATGTTAGTTCTATAACACTACGTGTTAGCTCTATTTTGTTCCCGTTAGTGCTAGGTCTAATATGAGTTCATATGTCTTATTAAACTTACAAATTCGAAAACTTTTTGCAGGGAAAAAATTACTCTAACAGGCTCAGCAGAAACACTAAGGTTAACGGCCAATATCGGGGCTTATTGGGGATTTATGAAGCGCATTGCCCCGAAGATCCGTCAGTGGCATAGGGATGCATGCTGCGGTTCTATATTTCAGCACTACATTTTATTTGGGGCTCCTGCGCCTGATCGGCCCACCCTTGAGCTGCTGCTGAGCTTTTATGACAGAGATAATAACATCTTTTGTATACCTGATTCAAAAAGTGGGTGTATGAAAAATGTTAGTTTTGATTTGCAATGGGTCCATAACCATACTCATTTCCCAATTTATGGGGATGTCATAAGTAACAATAGGGACTCAAGAAGCAGAATATGGCTCGAATACTTCGGTAAGCTTTTCATTTCTGAAGAGGGTAAGAAGTTAAAAAAAGTAGAAACCACCCAACGTAAACATCTTGAAGGGCTACTTGAACGGCTAATTGAATCTACAAAAAAGCGGGATATCAAGGATTTTGTTCTGCTACAAATTTTGTACCAATGCTCTATGATATGGGGTCCCATAGCAGGGGAAGGTATCCCTAGACCCTTACTCAGGCACCTGGATAGCATTCAGAGGGTCAATTCTGTTGCTTGGGCTAAGTTCTTTTATAATGAAATTATCAGGGGCATTGGAGTTGCTTTGGAGGGAAAGAAGAAGCAAAGGGTCGCATATGTCCCAGGTTGCATGATACTATTGTGTGTAAGTTCCATATTTTACTGATCTTGTTTCATTCTAGTTCGTACCTATGCATTGTTAGTTCTAACTTATTCTATGTTAGTTATGATGTATACCATGTTAGTTCTAATCTACACCATGTTAGTTCTGTTGCAGATTTTGTTAGTTCTAATTTGTTTCATGTGAGTTCTAATCTGCACCTTGTTAGTTTTAAGATATACCATGTTAGTTCTATCTGCACCCATGTAAGTTCTATCATAGGCCATGTTAGTTCTATCATAATTCATGTCGTACCACGTACTAATTTATACCATGTTAGTTCTAGATGCAGCCATATTTTATTCTCTTTGGTCTAGTCTAGTATTAAATGTTAATGGTAAATATATTTGGTACAACTTTGGTACTACGAGATGACAGGCATAAAGAAATATGCCCTCGTAGACACCTCCAGACCTCCAATGACAAATTGGGCATCAGGGGAGGAGAAAATCGCATCTATGAGGATGCCGACAATTATTTCAAAGGCTAAGTCAGCGTCAATAACATTTGTCCATAGGCCTATTGCGGAGGTCGCTTCTCCAGGTCATGTTCATTCACTTCTCGCTGAACAGAGGGATGAAGGTCCCGCTGTACAGAGGGGTGAAGTTCTTCAGCAAAAGCGTCAGGCAAAGAGGAAGGCTTTCCTGGAAGAAACTACTAAGAACTTCTCAATAGGTTACGTAAGTATCCTGTTATGTTAAGTCGTACTCATTTCACACTAACTGCAAAGAATATCCTAATTATGTTTAATCCTACTTAAAATTATAATCTTGTATCAATAACAGATCATGGCAAAGCATATTGACGTTGCTTTTGACGATGAAGAGGAGATCAATGTTCTTCCCATTGAGCAGCAACTCACATTTTGGAGAAATTCTGCTAAATTTCTCAAGCGACTTCTTGTTGCTACAAAGCAGACCAAGAGCAAATATTGTAAAGAATTCATGATTGAGATCAACAGGCTTAACAGGATAATTGAAAAATGTGGAAGACATGATGAGGTTATAGACCCGGTGCTGCTTAAGTCAAATATCAAACAGAAAATTGCAAATGAAATTAGGAAGAAGCGACAGGGAGCTCAAGAGGAACAGAAGTCCAAAACAAGCAGTGTATATAAGGAAGAGCCCACCAGTCAAGAACATGTACATAAGATTGTTGAAGAGGATGTAAAGCATCTTGCTGACGATGAGGCAATAGAAGAGGAGCCAGTTACTTCTCCAGGGGAGGGGGTATATAGTAAGGTTGACCAGACTGTAGATACTAAGGTTGATGATAGTGTAAATAAGGAAGAGGAGCATATGCAACATATTGTAGATATGGAAGAGGAGCATATGGAACATATTGTAGATATGGAAGAGGAGCATATGGTAGATAAGGAAGAGGAGCATATGGAAGATATTGTAGATAATGAAGAGGAGCGTATGGTAGATAAGGAAGAGGAGTATATGGTAGACAAGGAAGAGGAGCATATGGAAAATGAAAATTTTATTGTAGATAACAAAGGTTTTGATGAGGATACTGTTGATAAAAGTAAAACTAGTTGACAAAGTTACTCATTTTTACCCCGGTAATCAAATCCCCACTTTTGATGCGTTGAGTTTGAAGCCAATGACAGATGAAGAGGTAGCTCTATTGGGAGAGCTGAATAAAGACCTTCCAGACCCTACATTGTTTAACTTACGCATAATAGATAGCACAGGTGCTTTTGTACATAATTTAAAGATACCATCTCCAGTAGCAGACAGACTCGACAAAGCTCAAATTGAGAGCCTAACCAAATTTTGTTCTCAGAAGATTCACAGGTAAGTTTCAGTTGACTATTTATACGCTAATTCTCCATATATTAGTTCTAATTCATGTTAGTTCTAATTTATACCATGAGATATAATGTTATAGTAACAACCAACAACAGTATTAACAGGGAAGAGTTGTTATATGTGCTTCGTGGTGGCCGCCTTGACGACAAGGTTAACATATACTTGCTTAATAATTCAAATTATATTGTTTAAATTGAATTTTAATGTTTCATAACAATTACAGGTGGAAGAAGCAGTTTTGGACACGCTTAGCCAGAAGGCATATGACAAAGGATATTGAGTGGTATCAGTGTTTTTTCTTGTAAGAACATGCTATTCCTAATTACACCATGTTAGTTTTGATTGAAATTCATGTTAGATCTTGTGTAATCCATGCTAGTTATACCATGAGTCACGTTAGTTCTAATTAGCATCAATTTAGACCTACCATAAGTCATGTTAGTTCTGTCGCAGTTCATGTTAGTTCTTATATATTACGCCGTGTTAGCTCTAACTGCACAATGTTAGTTATAATCTGCACAGTGTTAGTTCTATTCTGTAGCATGTTAGTTCTAATCTGCACAATGTTAGTTCTATTCTGTAGAGTGTTAGTTCTAATCTGCACAGTGTTAGTTCTATTCTGTGGGGTGTTAGTTCTAATCTGCACAGTGTTAGTTCTATTCTGTAGCGTGTTAGTTCTAATCTACACAGTTTCTAATTAATACGGTGTTAGTTAGCCTTCGCAGCTCATGTTTGTTTTAATTTCAACTCAAACATGATGTGTTTGCAGCACTCACTCTATGGCTTTGAGACAAACAATTACGAGCTATTTTTGTCATATATTGAAAAATATACCGCATTCCGTATGGAGCATCTCTTGATCCCTTTGGTCAGGCACGATCATTGGCATCTTGTAGAAGTTGATTTTAAAGATAAAGTCGTCAAGCATTACAGTTCCACTGGGCACGAAGCTTGGATGGAGCATGTTAATAAAATCATAAACTTCTTTGATGCCCATCATGCTGAATTTATTGAGCAAAATGTGCGCAAAATATTTAGATATCAAGCCATCAAATGCGAGCAACAAAGAGGACGGTTAGTTCTGATGTCTATATTGTGTTAATTTGTGTTATAGTATTAGAACGGACCGAAAATGTCTAATGAACTCACTCTATGTTGCAGCTTTGACTGTGGTGTGTTCGTCTACCTCTATATAAAAGCCATAATTGAAGGACGATCAACATTGCTGGTTAATCCTCCGAACGATATCCCTGAAGCTATGCGAGCAAGACTTGCCGCACAATTATTACTGGCTGGTTTTGAACAAAGACATAAAGAAGAAACAGTGTACAGTGATGAATGATATGTTCATACAAATACAATAATGTATGTATATTTAAGTAATTGAAAATGATTGTTATCAGATGTATTGTTCTATCTGTACCATGTTCGTTCTAGTGATGCTCGTTAGTTCTAACTCATTCAACGTTAGTTCTATTCTGTACCATGCTCGTTAGTTCTATCTCAGAGCCAGTTCTAATTTTTTAATTATTTAAGTTATCTTCAGACCTCCAGCTGCTCACTTCTTTCGAAGCGACGGTTCCATCACACAAACATGTCACATCATATATTCGCGTGTTCCCAAGTCAGTTAAATAAATTAATTAACTTAAATACCTAATACGAACTTCCATCGATAGGTACGGTCACCACCTTTCTTCTACTGGCCCCAGCGTAGGCGCCTCTGCAAACCCCTCCCCCTGCTAAAAACCACAACCCAGCGTCATCTATTTTCATCGTATACCCTCACAAATGGCTGGGGATCCTTTTTGTGTACACTGCCATGGGACAGGACATAGCTCTCGAGATTGTCATCATGGAATTACTGCTCGTGCCCCTTCGAGGATGCTTACCGTCCTGGCCAACACCTCCAGCACCATACGGCATCTTTCTTCTTACGCCATCTTCAATCTTGATAGAGGCCGTTCATCTATGCAGGAGCTCCGAGAGATGCTGGCCTATCGCTTCAATCTTAGGACATGGCCCCATCAAATCAAGGAGGTGGCAGGGCACAGCTTCATGGTACAGTTTCCATCCGATGAAGTTCTTGCCCAAGCTATTGAACTCGGTTTGATAGATATTGGCACATTTAAGGGCAGATTCAGCCGTTGGAAAGAGGATCTGAGGCTAACAACGTTGCCTCAACCCTTTCTAGTATGGATTCGCCTATTCAATCTCCCATACCACCTCTGGAATCTTGAATTTCTTCAATCTCTGCTCCTTGGTATCGGTGAATGTGTCATGTGCTCCAGGGACGTCATAACACATTCTAACTTAAAAGACTGTAGAGTTCTACTCAAGGTTAGGGATTTATCTGAAATCCCTAAGAGGCTTGGGTTCCGTTACATCTCGCCGGTGGACGGTAACGCCAGGGAAGGATACGCCATCACGCAGGTCCAATGTGGGGGAATTTGGAGAGGGCTCAGGGATCCACATGACTCAACTTAGGGCCTCAGCGTGCGCAGCCCTTTAGGACCGACCCCGAGTTAATTGAGGTTAGTTGGGGTGGCAAACACATGACGGCCGAGAGAGACCAATGGCAGCTGTTTCTCCGTAACCAAGGGGTCGGGGGTGCCAATTCTCCAAGGTCTCTCCCTACCGGCAATGTTCCTCTCCCTTTACACCCCGTCGTCTTCCACAGTGGCTCAGCAGAATCCAGTTCTCCTTCCTCAAAGTGCAGTAAGCTAGGACCTTCGAAAAGGAAGGCGAGTGACAGTGAAAAGGGTTTATTAGACCGAAACCGATCCAGCGAGGGCAGCAACAAATGAAGACCTGGCATCATTGCGTGTTAGTTCTTGTTAAATATTGCTTATCCAGAAAACAGTTTGTTACAAATCTTAACCCAAATACAGAGAAGCCGTGTTAGTTCTTATATATTAGTATAACTAATGTTGTGTTAGTTCCAATATGCACCCTTTTAGTTATATATTATAACACGTTAGTTCTAATATATATGGTATTAGTTCTAATCTGTACAGTGTTAGTTCTATTCTGTAGAGTGTTAGTTCTAATCTGCACAGTGTTAGTTCTAATCTGCACAGTGTCAGTTCTATTCTATAGAGTGTTAGTTCTAATCTGCACAGTGTCAGTTTTATTCTGTAGAGTGTTAGTTCTAATCTGCACAGTGTCAATTCTATTCTGTAGCGTGTTAGTTCTAATCTGCACAGTGTTTTTCTATTCTGTAGCGTGTGATGGCTTGTTAGTTCTATTTTATTAAACGTTATGTCTAATTTATACCACGTTATATCTAATTTATGTTAGTTCTATTTTATACCATGTTATAAACATTTATACCACGTTATATCTAATTTATGTTAGTTCTATTTTATACCATGTTATAAACCTAATTTATACCACGTTATATCTCATTTATACCAAGTTAGTTCTAATTTATACCAAGTTATTTCTATTTTATACAACGTTAGATCTAATTTATACAAAGTTAGTTCTAATTTAAACAAAGTTTGCTCTATTTTTATACCAAGTTAGTTCTAATTTATACCAAGTTAGTTCTATTCTGTAGCGTGTTAGTTCTAATCTGCACAGTGTCAGTTCTATTCTGTAGAGTGTTAGTTCTAATCTGCACAGTGTCAGTTCTATTCTGTAGAGTATTAGTTCTAATCTGCACAGTATTAGTTCTATTCTGTAGCGTGTTATTTCTAATCTGCACAGTGTTCTTCTATTTTGTAGCATTTGATGGCTTGTTAGTTCAATTTTATTACACGTTATGTCTAATTTATGTTAGTTCTATTTTATACCATGTTATAAACCTAATTTATACCACGTTATATCTCATTTATACCAAGTTAGTTCTAATTTATACCAAGTTATTTCTATTTTATATAACGTTAGATCTAATTTATACAAAGTTAGTTCTAATTTAAACAAAGTTTGTTCTATTTTTATACCAAGTTAGATCTAATTTATACCAAGTTAGTTCTATTCTGTAGAGTGTTAGTTCTAATCTGCACAATGTCAGTTCTATTCTGTAGAGTGTTAGTTCTAATCTGCATAGTGTTAGTTCTATTCTATAGCATGTTAGTTCTAATCTGCACAGTGTTCTTCTATTATGTAGCGTGTGATTGCTTGTTAGTTCTATTTTATTACACGTTATGTCTAATTTATACCACGTTATATCTAATTTATGTTAGTTCTATTTTATACCATGTTATAAACCTAATTTATACCACGTTATATCTCATTTATACCAAGTTAGTTCTAATTTATACCAAGTTATTTCTATTTTATACAACGTTAGATCTAATTTATACAAAGTTAATTCTATTTTAAACAAAATTTGTTCTAATTTTATACCAAGTTAGATCTAATTTATACCAAGTTAGTTCTATTCTGTAAACGTTATAAACCTAATTTATACCACGTTATATCTCATTTATACCAAGTTAGTTCTAATTTATACCAAGTTATTTCTATTTTATACAACGTTAGATCTAATTTATACAAAGTTAGTTCTATTTTATACCACGTTATAAACCTAATTTATACCACGTTAGTTCTAATTTATACCAAGTTATTTCTATTTTATACAACGTTAGATCTAATTTATACAAAGTTAGTTCTAATTTAAACAAAGTTTGTTCTATTTTTATACCAAGTTAGATCTAATTTATACCAAGTTAGTTCTATTCTGTAGAGTGTTAGTTCTAATCTGCACAGTGTCAGTTCTAT